AACACGAAGACAAAAAGTCCACTTTACCTGGAAGTCATTTAAGAGTCCATATTGACACTGCTGTTCTGCACAGGACGCCAGCGACTGATTTGTACTATTTTGCAACACCTCTGGAGCAAAACCAAGTGCTTCCCTTTCAACGCACGAACCCACAAACCAGGCAAGCATTATGTAAACAAGTGTACTGATGAGGATAGCCAACAATGTTCCTTTCGGCACTGCCTTGCGCACACTTTTGAGATCACCTGATATGTTAACCCCAGCTAGAATTCCTGTCGCAGCAGGAAAGAACACAGCAAAGACTGAGAAAAAACTTTCATCTTTATAACCAGGGTTAAAATTGGTCTCAAAGAGATCTTTCTTGTAGCCAACAAAACCTTTCATTCTGCTATCTTCTGACTGTGGTCCAATGAAGGTTCCTATCATGACATTAAGAATTGAAATAACTAACACAATAAGAAGTATCATTTGAGCTCGCACAACCCATTGCAAGCCAATCATGGTAATGCCGAGGAGAACAAGAATAGTGATAAGGCCTACAATGCGAATATCATTAGACTCGTCCACCATGAGGGAATCATTATCCCTGAGGATGTCCCGCACTGTTTCTGCAAAACCAACCACGTACATTGCTGTAGCTACAGCACTGGCAACTGAGAAGATTACACCTATGGAGCCTCCAAACTCAGGTCCAAGACTGCGGGATATGAGATAATAAGCCCCACCTAGTAGGAAACACAGATTTTNAAGAAGAGATCACCCCATGAGATGGCAGATTCCCTTTTATTACAATCCAGGAGGGTGCTTATTTTGACTCTTTCCGACTCCCAAAAACAGTGTGTATTGAGTTTCACCAATTCCACTATTGTTAACTGCTTTGGCTTAATGCAAGTCGTTGATAGCCCAACACGCTCCGAGTCAATCTTGGATTTAACATTAACTGACACCTTCGAAAGTATTACAGTATTATTATATTGGCCAATTAGTCTTGGTTCCTCAGATCACAGAATCATTAACTTCACATTTATTACAAAAGTAGCACATCCATTACAATCATCTAAAGTAGTTTTCTACTATAAAAATCCAAATTGGAACAGTTTTTGCACAGAGTTAACTAGTGCCACCTGGGATTCAGTCTTCGCCAACAACAACATCAACGATATATCTGGGACAGATGGAAATGTCTTTTCTACAAAACCATTCGCAACAACATCCCTTCAAAGAGAATTAAACTTATGAAAAATGTTCCCTGGATAACTTCCCAAATTAGAAGATTAATTCACAAGCGAAAAATTAATGTCTCTGGAAGAAAGCAAAAGCTACAAATGACCAAAATGATTGGAACATTATTTGTTATAAATGTATTCTGCTCATAGTAATGGCCACTTCATAAGTGCTGTATCAACCTCATGTTGCAGGTATAGTGTGTTTTGTAGAAATTCACTTAATCACTCACCTCCTTTGACCTCACCATTGGTACAAACAGCAGACATGGACAATGTTGTCAGAGTAGTTACCACAGCAGACAAAAGCACAATGACAGTAGCCAAACCTATCCCAGCATGTCCAACAACCCAAGAAAGCCGCAAATACAGCATAACACCCCATATGTTGAGTAGACAGCCAAACAGCACACCTTTGATCCAGCCAAACTTGGGTGCATTCAGTACACTTCTATTTCTTACTTCTAAGGGATCTGAACCCTCCTCCATTTTCTTATCATCCGGAGGGGCTGGCTGCTCGACAAATTCAGCCTACAGAAAAAAAAATCATTCTTGCTGTTATATGACAAAATTCTACCTTAGGTTTGTACAGTGTTTGAAGGTAAACATTAAGTCTCATCACCACCTTATGCGCCTACCGGCGCCTTGAGAACTGATGATGATGATGATGATGATGATGATTAAGTCTCATCTGTGAAAATCTAGTCACTATTATTAGTTTAATAAATTTATTAATAATATATGCAAAAGAGTCATTCATTCTTGTCACAGTGGATGCTGAAAGTGAATGTTCAAGGTTGATGTTTTGTTCTCTTCTGCTACATATTTTCCAATGTATGTTTTAGGAGCTGGGGCATTTGTTCCTAAGGTGGGGCATTTGAACAAAATTTTAAAAATAAATATCTAATGCCCTGGGGGGTTGCCCAGGGAGATGTTGAAGTTTCGAATTGAGTAATACATCACAAAGAAGCCTTTAGCCTGTCATAAACATGTAACCACACCGTCACATTGTCAAAATTGCAATAGCGATGACTACACTGCAATCAACGATCAAATCAAGGTCTCCAGATCTCTTGATCGAATTTTGGTTAATCAATGAAGCGTGTCGACACAAACAAACAAGTTGGGTTCAATTTGTTAATTCGAACTTATATGTACTACCATCTAAACGCTCTTTTAACTTCTGGATCAAAAGAAAAAAAAAACCTAGTTCCCTGGTAGACGTTGAAAGGTTTACGTGCTGCATATATTATTTTCTGCAGCACGTAAGTCAGTTTCATTTTCATCGCCCGGCTGAATATACAAGTTTAAGCGAATTATTTATGCTCAAAGTACCACTTCGCAGACTGAAATGTCGTTAAGATTTCATTAATCTTGATTAAAAAAAAAACTGGTCGCAGGCGAATTTCAGCAACATTCTTATAACTAGTTTTGGGGTGTCTAGCAGATAGTAAACACAATCACGAAACTTTCAGGTTATTCGAGAATATGCAAATCTAGCGCCGGCTATGAGTTTGACAATGAGCCAGAATGATTGAGCGCACAAAACGTTCCTTGCTTAATAATATCATTCGTAGATACGATCGATAAACTATAATTTCTAACCTTGTCATTTTCTAAGCCTTTACGGAGTTCTTGTAGGGTAGGTCGTTGTTTCCCGCTGTGCCCATGTGAATGCTGACTTCGATAGAAGATGGTCATTGGGATGGCCTCGTTCGTGGCATATCCGAAGGTGAAATGTTCGGGAGTCATTGGACTTTTTGGTTGTCCATCCTCAATTGAAGGCGAAGAAGGTTCGTTTGCATCGTCTGTGGCAGTATCTGCCAGAGGATCGTTCAATTCCGGTCCGAATTTGACCTTATGTACCGAAAACTTTTTGGGCTCCTTCGTAGAGTCGCCATTTCCAGAGTCACTGATAGCATTTTCTTCTCCCATTTCCTTTTCGTCGGTGGCTGCAGCAGGCGTTTCAACTCCCTCGTCAGACATTTTGATCAGCTGACAGGGTACAAGGCTGATCGAAATGTGATGAGCATGCAATATTTCACTGTCCGGCTGCCTGAGTCACATGTATTTATACAAGGACTGTGACCTGTATTTCTCAATCCCGCGCGCGGAAAAAAGTCGACAACGTTCGTAAAGCGTCAAGGGAACAATCCCGTGAAAGTGAAGAATGGTGAAATGAAGGAACGGTGGAACGGTGGAACGGTGGAACGGTGGAACGGTGGAACGGTGGAACGGTGGAACGGTGGAACGGTGGAACGGTGGAA